CAATCATCTTATGCAGAAGCTTAGAAAAATAATTCTATCTGCAATTCTAAAACTAGGATGGCCCTGAGGCAGACAGGAATTTTCCTATCTCCCTCTTCTGTTCTCTCTCTGTCACTCTGTCTCTGTGTCTCTTTGCCTCTTTCCTCTTTTCTTTTTCCTTCCCCCTCCCTACCCTTTCTAATAAAACTTCTCACAAAAAAAAAAAAAAAACTTAGACTGATGTGGTTCCTTGCATGGAAAGGCAATAATGAACTCAACAAAGAGAATTCAATGAATTAAATGAAGTAAAAACGACCACACTGACAACATTCATTCCAGTAGTCTTTGACCATAGGTCCACATAAATGTTCCCAAGTACACTTTATTGGGACAAACCCAGGATTCAGAACCCAGTCAATTCTCCATGGTGCAGGAGCAATGACTATAGGGACATCCCAGGGAGGGGCCAGACAGATTAATAGGTAACTGAAATTCAATTCTATAAAGCACTGGAATCAAATACCAAGCTAATTCCTAACTCCTAGATTTCAGAAGAGAAAGAAATCACAAAGAGTATTCAGATCAATCACAAAATATGAAAAGAAGCATTGCTAAAACATTAGTTGTACATAGGGGTGTAGAGAGTAGAGAGGTGCCTTGGTCCTGCCTCAACAAAATGATGGGACAGACTTAGTAGACTTCCTGAGGGAGGCCTTACCTTCTATGAGGAGATGGGACAGAGGGTTGGGGGGAGCAGAAGGAGAGGAGGGAGGGGGAACTATGATTGTAGTGTAAAATAAATAAATAAATAATAAATAAAGGAAATAGAAAGAAAATACCACACACACACACACACACACACACACACACACACAAGAAAAAAGAAAACTGATTGGTCTATAAAGCTCGGGCTTGGATGGTTTAAATTGATTGGACCACACTGCACAGGCTCTGGATGCTATGAGATGATTGGTTTAAGATGCACAGGCTTTGTTGTAACCCTATAAAATCTGTCTAAATTCTGTACTCAGGGACCTCAGTCCTCTACCCCTGGGTGGAGTATGACTGTGGATCCCAGTGCACTTGGAATAAAAAAGACCTCATGCTTTTACATCAAGACCGCTTCTAGTGAGTGATTGGGGGGGGGGCACCTTTCCTGAGTGAGAGCATGAAGGTCCACGCTCTGCAGGTCTTTCAAAACATGCACACACACACACACACACACACAGGCCAGGACCTGGGTTAAAACAAACAGGTGTGACAAGAGTGGCCACCACACATTCATACACCTGAACAAACGAGGGAATCCAGTGATGTCTCACACAGATTCTGGACACTGGATCAGCAGCCCCATCTCACAAGAGTTCAAACAGAAGGCACCTTAACCAGACTCACCTCTGGAGGGGAAAGACCAGGCTACTTTCTAATTTGTTTCTTTTGGGGGTAGAGGTGTCAGACTCCTGAAGCATTAGACAGTAATTGATCAAAGGTTCCTGGGGACCTGCATCTCATGTTGTTCACCCCCAGGAGTCTCCTGACCACTGCGCTCTTCCCAGCTCCAAAGAGAGCTAAGAACCCTGTGTCTCAGGGCCTGGTGTCTGGGGATCTTGGTGGGACTTCCAGAAATGCGGAGTATCCACAAAAGAAGACTATTCAGACATGGGTGAGGCCACAGCAAGTCTTTACTAGCTGGCCAACAGCTACAGTGGGTGTTCAGGGTCCCAGTGTAGCCCCAAATCTTTCTCAAGAGTGACACTACAGTTAACAAGAACAGTTAGCCAGGAATGGAAATACAGATGCCAGAAAGCAAGGTTAGTGCCTTAAGAGACTTTCCCAGAACTGTGGACTAGGTCTTTGTTTTTGTTTGGGCAGGGGGTGTTGTTTACATGCTGAGTTTTATGGCCTAAATGGTGCTTCCATCACTGAGTTCTTATGCTAATGTCTGGGGCCCTGTTACTCGTGCTTGATCTCTGGTTATGTTCCCCCAACTGTAAATGGGGATAAAACTCCACTTAGCTAATTGGTCTTTGTTGAGTTTTCAAAGGATCACACAAACAGTCTTTGAGGGATGTTGAACACCCAACAGAGGTCAGCTCTGGGGAAGAGGTCCCAGTGCTTCCTGGGTGGTTGTGGGCATTTCCAGATGCAGGCACTCTGAGCCTGATTAAGGAGGGGAAATGTGCAATTTGCATCTCCATTGTCATTTTGTTTCCCTTCTCCTTCTTCCTCACCAACAGCACCCATCCGCACCCTGATCTGCCTTGCACTTCCCCCTTAGACCATTCCAATAGCCTCCTTCCCAGTCTTTGGGCTCCCAAGTCACCTATACCATCTGAAAAGTAGGCATACTAAACCGCTCAGAGGGGCACACGCTGTAATGCAGGCATCTCAGAGAAAGAGGAGGGTTTTAAGTTTGAGGACAATGTGGAGTCTATAATCAGAAGCGATTTCAGAAGAATAAGGACTGACTATAGAGATCAGGGGCTGAGCACTTGCCTAGAATCCACTAGTGAGGGGCTAAGGTATGGCTCCGCAATTGTGTCTTTTATCCCGCACCCACAGGGCTTTGTGTCCTGCCCAGAGCACTACAATTGTAAAAAGTGAGGTCTTCCTCGTTCCCCTCACAGATCCACTCCTTCCCTGATAGATACTCAAGAACAAGGTCATTCAAGTCATCTTACATTTCACCCTTAATTATCTGAACCCTTCTCTCAACTGCCACTCCTCATACACAGCATCCACACCCTGGCCACTTCCTAAACATCTCACACATCTTCATGCGCAACATCACTGGGAAGGCCCTTCCGTTCTATTCTTGAGGTACACAAATATCTTCCAAAAGTCAACTCAATGGACACTTAGGCAAGCTTCCAAGCTTCCACAAGCCCTGCACTCTCATTCATCAATCTCATTACAACTCATATTTGGGTATCTGAAACTGTCTATCCCCTATCTAGTTCTGACAGCCAAATTTTCAAAGCATTTTAATGTATAGGCATGTGTGTGCATGCTCATATAGGTGCATGTGCACAAATGCCATGGCTCATGTGTGGATACCAGAAGACAACCTTGAGTGTCAGTCATTACCTTAGACCCTTTTTGAGATAGGATCCGTTAATTGCTGTTGTGTTTGCTAGGCTACTTGGCCTGAGAATTTCCAGAGATTCTTTTATCACACTTTGGGAATGTGTGTCAGGGATTATGGATACTGTACTTGCCTTTAGGTGGGTTCTGCAGGTGGAACTGAGGTCTTCACACTTATACAAGTATTTCTACCTGCTGATACCCATCCTCCAAGCTCCGACAATGTCTTGATGTTGCACTAAGTATTCATTCGAAGTATAAAGGAACCCACACTGTGAGCCAGAGCCTCCTCCATCAGTACTTGAGCAAAATGACAGAATTTCTCCAGTCATCTCAAATACCATTGTTTCACTGATGGGTTATTCCCAAGTAAGTCTGTACACTCCAGTTCCTTTTTTATCACATTTGTGAAGGAAACCTTGAGAGAACTCTGAGTTTCCCTCATTTCTTTGTTTCCCACGTGTCTACTGCTTGCTTCTTATAGGCCATTCCCTGGAAATATCAGGAAGAAGGAGACAAGGTGCCTGCCTCACCTTAAACCTAACCTCATTACAATTTCAAAGCTTGTTTACGTAGTCCTTCTTTGGGCAAACAGTGACAGAAAACAAAGGGTTGGAACTCTACAGAGGATGGTTAAACAGGAAACTTTCCTTTTAAAAAGATTTTATTTATTTTTATTTTATGTGTATGTGTGTTTTGTCTGCATGTATATATGTGTTCTGCGTGAGTACAGCATCCACACCCTGGCCACTTCCTAAACATCTCACACATCTTCATTCGCAACATCACTGGGAAGGCCCTTCCATTCTATTCTTGAGGTACACAAATATCTTCCAAAAGTCAACTCAATGGACACTTAGGCAAGCTTCCAAGCTTGCCTAAGGACATAAGAGGGTGTCAGATCCCTGGAACTAGAGTTTCAATTGGTGTGGTTGTGAGATGTAATATGGGTACTAGGAACTGAACATAGGTCCTTGGCAAGAGCACCAAGCACCCTTAACATATGAGGCATCTCTCTAGCCCCTAAAAGGAAAAGTTTTATGAGGTGCCTATGGAAGGAAAATCAATGGAATGTCTTGATTTGGTTAAAGTGAAATGAAATTTTAATTAATATAGTTTCTAAATACAGGACAATTGGCAGTTTCTGGTTAGTTTCATCTTCCTATTGCACAAACATTCATACTGAGTTGGGCTTTGTGGGTGAGCAGAATAGCTTTAAGTTTATATCAAAATGTATTGAAAATAAAATACGTACAACAACAATGTGGGGTACAACAGAAAAGGAAAAGGGGTCAAACTCAAAAGAAATACATTAAGGCCAAGAACAAAGAAAGAGGTGTCCAGAAAAACAGAAGGATCTGGGGAAATAGATCAAATTTTGTGACCCCAATTTCTGACCTTCCAGAATGAAGGAAGGAGTCCATCACTGCACTGTCTTCCCAAGCAGCTACAGAAAGAACCAGATGCAGCGGAGGCACAGTCACCTTTGGCATTGGGACAGAAGTCACTGCAGCAAAGTCACAGAACTGAGGACCCTCAACAGATGATCCCTTTCTGATAATTCCTCTAAGAGAAGCGCAGAAAACACCGAGTGAGATGCCCCACAATTAGGAGGAAAAGACAAAAGAGGGTCCAGTACAGAAGGCCAACGAGACAGCTAAGAGGGAAAAGGTGCTTACTGCTGAGCCCAGGGCCCGGGTTTGATCTTGGGAACACCTAGTGGAAGGAGGGAACTGACCTCCACACATAGCTGTGGCACACACAGCAGGCTACTGGCATACTCCATCTCCACATTCAAATCAACAAACAAATTAGTTAAGTGTAAAAAGGGTATTTTTAATGCTCAAGTACCGTAAAGAAAACCAATGGATTCAGAGAAAAACAGAAGGGGGGAAAAAAATCAGGAACTACTTTGTTGGGAGCTGTCCTCCAGTCACAGCCAGCCTTGAGCCACATCCTCTTGCAAAGTTGTTTACTCCTTAGCTCTAGCTGAGCCTTATCTTGGCAAAATAGGAAACTGCTGAAAGGCAGTCTGTTTACTTCAGGAACTGAGATAAGCAGATAGCATGGTCTGAGATAACTGCCAGAGCCCCAGAGTCATCACAGCTACCCCTCCCCACTTCCTCCCCGCTTGGCTTTAAAAACCCCTCTTTGTGCCTAATAAAGTTAGACCTTGACAAGCATTGCTTGGTCTCATTCCTTCTTTCTCTCCCATTATTTTCAGGTTCTAGCCCACCTCAACCCACGAATAACTAGGCCCCGCTGGTCAGGGCAAGTGGTGCCCAACACAGGACTCAAGGGTGGGTTTTTACCGAACGGAGGCCCCCAACCCTGAAGAAAATCGGTAGCGCGCACCGAGAAGAATGCCGGACCTGGTGACCTGGGAGCTGCAGCAAGGCAAGAAATTGGAATCTGTCCTCACCGCTCATGATTCCTGGTGAGTCCTCCTTCATTCCGTTCAATAATAATGGGTCAATATTTGTCCAAGGAAGTTAAGTTCATTAGGGACTTCAAGTCTTCCTTTCGAGAAAGAGGAATTAGAGTTTCATATAAAGAATTAATAACTTTCTTTGCCTTCATTTCTAAAACTTGTCCTTGGTTTATTCTCGAAGGACCAGATATTCACCCCCTGACATGGCAAAAGGTGGGTGAGGATCTTAACAGACTACTTAAAGAACAGGACCTAGAGGCCCTAAGCCTTAGGAACTCCTGCTGTGGCTAACGCCCAGCCAAGTGTATAGAAAAATTAATGCAGCCTGTCAGAAACTGGTGAATGTATTGCTCATAATTTAAGGGTTATCTATAGCAGCCCCATTATAAGAGATTTCAATTAAGGATGCTTTATTTCAACTGTAAGACCTTCAGAATGAGGAGTCTTCCAGGTTCGGTCGATACCCCAAGAACTCAATGTCCAGTCCAGTTGCTGTAAAACGCAAGAGGCTTTAAATGAACAGGAAACGTTTGCTCAAACGGGCTCCTCCAGCATGCAGGCTAGAAGCCCCCTCCCCTGGGCTCAGGTGTTTTTAAAGGCAAACCCACTAGCTTAGGGAGGGGATGGGACCCTCTGTCCATTGAGTACATGACCCTTGGAGGCCTGATGGTCTGCTATTAGGGTCAGTAGACCTTAGGGCCTCAGGGTGTGCTAATTAATCTTGTCTGGGCAAACCAGAGTTACAGCTATCTCTTTGTTTCCTAAGGACCCTATTTACCACCTGTTGACTCACAGGAAAGGAGGGGCAATGTGAATTCTTGTTATCTCAGGGCCTGGTGAGAGGAAGCTAGCAAATTCCAAGGAACAGATATTGGTTAGCTTTCCAGGTCAGACCATCCTTCATTTAACTTCACTTTTTGGTCTTTCACAACAAACTAATCTTGGCCTAGAGAAAAAGAGAGCTGAAAAATGTATGTATGCTCTGTATGTATGCTGGGGCCACCCATGGTAGTGTCTGAAGTGTTGATTGTGAATATGTGAATGTGTGAATCTCAACAATAGGTACTACTTGAATTGTTTGGGATATAAAAAAGAGAGAGAGAGAGATGTCAGGGTTGGAGATCTGCAAGACAGTTGGAGGACTGTATTGTAGAGCGAAACAATAGGAAATTATCAAAGCCAGAATGGCCTGAGAGCCAGAGAAATCTGTATGGGTGTCTCAAAAGAATTTAGCAGAGGGCAGAATATAGAAATCTTCTTAAATTCTGGTGGTTAAAAAATAAATTAAAAGAATGGAGGTTAATGTAAAATTTGAAAAAAGCTATTGAAAGGAGGCCTCAGGAAATTGCAGCCCTGTTAGGCCCTCCACCTAGAAAGTTGTCAGTGAAAATGCAAATGAGACCAGGTCAGCTAATGAAAGCTTTACAGGTCAGAGTAGAAAAAGTTTTCCAAAGTATTTGGAACTTATGTTACATCCTAAAGAAATTAGGCCTCAAAAAATTAGAAACTAGAAAAGATAGCTTGTAATCATTAAATAATTTTCAGAAGTTATTAGGAAATATTTCAATGGTTATGTCCTTTTTTAAAAAGCACCTATTGGTGATTTGAAACCTTTAAGCCTAAAAGAAGATAGTGATCCCAAATCACCTAGACAGCCAACTGAAGAGAGTAGACAAGTTCTCTTACAATCAGAGAATGCAATCCAGCATCAGCAGATAAGCTATATTGACTACGCAAAAGCATGGGAGGCTTATGTACTTCCCACACAGCATAGTCTGAATTCTTTCTGTCTTATGGCAAAGGGGACCATTGTTATGATTGCATTTACCTGTTTCCTCAGTGTTAAAGCCTTATTTTAGAGCAGTAGCTTGTATGGTACAAAATGCTGTCTAAGAGATATTTGGCCAGAGAACCAAGCGTAATACATGTTCCCTATACCAAATAGTAAGTTAATGGTTATTTCAAAACCTTTACAACCAGCAATTAACAGGCAAAGGAATGTTTATTTAGATGGTGAGGGGTTACCTCCCCTTTTCTGAGAGTGGGCTCAGGCACCAGCCCTGGCACTCCTGACTTACGGAGTTAATTTTCTTTTATCATTAGAAGTTTCCTTCCTCTGTATAGATTTATGGCCTAAGTTTTCAAGATTTTATTAATTACAATTTTTGGTCCATCAGGTTTTGCTCAGTTTTTGGAAAAAATTGATAATCAGTTTATAGACTATTACAATTTGTACTAATACATCCTTTTTGTATTCCCTAAAATTGTAATGGGTAATCCTATAAAAAAAAATGTTGTTAGTTTCTCCTGGTGGTTCTTTGGATGGAAAAGCAGCTTATATTATTTATTGATGGGAAAAGACTATGTAGTACAGACAGATCCAGCTTCAGCTCAGATAGTTGAGTTACAAGCTGTTGCAATAGTTTTTTAGCTTCTAATGAATGATTCATTTAACTCATACTGATAGTCATTATGTTTTCAGAGCTCTTCAGGTTTTAGAGACAGTTCCATACATTGGAACTAGTAATAATCAGGTTAAATTACTGTTTGGGCAAATTCAAAGTGCCATTCATTATAAAGAGAGTCACTGTGCTTTGTGGGTCTTACAAGAGCTCATTCAAACTTCCCGACCCACTGGCTATGAAAGACCAGAAGAGGGCGTGGACCCTCACACCCGGACTCAGGCAAAATGGCCCTGTATATTGGATTCATTTGTCAGCCTCCCCTAAGAAGGTGGTGTCATCATCAAAATAGTAATACTCTAAGAGTTTGGTTTAACTACAGAGACTGCTCAACAAATTGTCAAACAATGCGATGTGTGCCCACAATATTTACCAGTAATATAGGAGTAAACCCTCAGGCCTGCTTCCTAATCATTTATGGCAAATGGATGTTACTCATATTGCAAAATTTGGCAGATTAATGTATATGCATGTGACAATTTACATATTCAGGCTTCTTGATGGCCACTGCACAAACTGGAGAAGCCACTAAGCATGTGATGTCACTATTTAAAATGTTTTGCTTACATGGGCGTTCCAAAAAATTATAAAGACAGACAACGGATCTGAATATACTAGTAAAGCATTTCAACATTTTGTGCCCAATAAAAAAATTAAACACATAACAGGCATTCCTTCTAATCCTCAAGAGCAAAGAATTGTGGAACGTGCTCATAGCTCCTTAAAAATGCAGCTTACAAGGAGAAGGGAGTCGTGTCCCCAGTCTCCACATGATACATTAAATCATGCACTCTTCATTTTAAATTTTTTGAATGTGGAGGCCTATGAGCAATCTGTGGCAGACAGATTCTGATATGATGGAACTCAAGAGACTTTTACTCAAATCAAATGGAAAGATCCATGCATGAGACTATGGAAAGGGACCTACCCTCTCCTAAATATGGGGTTGAGGGGGGTCGCGCATGTTTGTGTTTTCTTGCAGGGAGAAAATGAGGACCGGTGGCTGAGACCTCAGAAGCATAATTACCTCTTCTCTCTCTCTCTCTCTCTCTCTCTCTCTCTCTCTCTCTCTCTCTCTCTCTCTCTCAGGGGTCATTCTCTAGAACAGACAAGGCTTAAACCTATTGTTTTTACAACAAGGAGGAATTTGTGCAGCACTCAAAGATGAATGTTGCTTTTATGATGATAAGACTGGCTTAGTGGAAGACAGCTTAGATAGAGTGCAGAAAAGTCTTGAGGAAGGTAAACAACGGGGAACAGGCTGAGTCCTGGTATAAAAATTGGTTTTCTACCTCCCCTTGGCTTTCTACCCTGCTTCCTTCTCTCCTGGGACTATTTGTGGGATTGTTGCTGCTGCTGACTTTAGGGCCTTGGGCATTCCAGAAATTAACTCAATTGATCAAAACTCAAATTGATTCCATGCTCAAAAAACCTATTTCTGTATACTACCTTCAGCTTTTGGAAAAGGAACAGGGCTCCTCTGAGGAACCTGATGAGGATGGTGACAATGCCAGTCCTGATCCCCCTAGACAAGGACTTGATTTCACAGGACTCAAACAACAGAGGACCTGGTTCTCTCAAATATGGAGACGTCAATGATGGGAGTATCGCGGTGCCACAAAGCAGATGCGGACCCTCCTCTTCGGCTTCCCTCAACGATGGGAGTAGCATAGGACCGTCTCTCAGGAGCCCACTCATCTTGCCTGACTCACCTGATTTTTGACTATGTCCTTGAGTGCTGAGGGCAGATGCACCCTATGTAGCCTAAGACAGAGGTCCTACCCATTCGTCACATAGTGACAAGCCCATCCCCAGTGTCCCGATTGTGGGAGCCCACCGTGTAGCCTAAGACAGACCCTCCATAAAAATAATAAAATAGGGAGATGTTGGGAGCCGGCCTCGAGTCACAGCCAGCCTTGAGCCACATCCTCTTGCAAAGTTGTTTACTCCTTAGCTCTAGCTGAGCCTTATCTTGGCAAAATAGGAAACTGCTGAAAGGCAGTCTGTTTACTTCAGGAACTGAGATAAGCAGATAGCATGGTCTGAGATAACTGCCAGAGCCCCAGAGTCAGCACAGCTACCCCTCCCCATTTCCTCCCTGCTTGGCTTTAAAAACCCCTCTTTGTGCTTAATAAAGTGAGACCTTGACAAAGATTGCTTGGTCTCCTTCCTTCTTTCTCTCCCATTATTTTCAGGTTCTAGCCCACCTCAACCCACGAATAACTAGGCCACGCTGGTCAGGGCACTACTTGGCATAAAAGGAGATACAAAAAGCATTGTATATGAATTGGGTCAGCTATGAGAAGTGATGAGGTACTCTATGTAGCTATTAGACTAAATTCAGAATGAGGAGTCTGTCTAATATATCTAATGATGACAGTTAAGATGTGTGAATACAAATTCATTTGCATGTGTGATTGTGTACTGGCAAAGGCTGTGTAATTCCACATACTTCCATGACCAGGTCAGCTAACTACCCAGGACTCAATTTTGAAGAAGTCTTACCCCCGTATTCCACATGTATAACAAAATGACTTATATTGTTGCTTATAAAAATTGGGAGAGGGGGTGTCATGGGTAAATTGTAATGTCAAGGTGACAAAAGTTAGTGCCATCTGAGAAAAGGGAACCTCAATAAGAAAAGCCTTCATAAGACTGGCCTGTAGGCAGGTTGGTGGAACATTATCTTGACTGATGAGTGGTGTGGAGGGGCCAGCCCATTGTGGGTGGTGCCACCCTTGGGCAGCAGGTGTCCTGGGTTGTATAAGAAAGTGGGTTGAGTAAGCAGCCCTTGTCATCAGCTTCTGCATCAGCTTTGGCGTCCAGGTTCCTGCCCTGAGTTTCTGTCTGGACTTCCCTGGATGGTGGTCTGGAGGCTGTAAAATGAGAGGAAACCCTTTCTCCCCTAAGATGATGATGATGATTATCTCATCACAGCAACATTCATCCTCTTTAAGACAGGGAGATAGCCTACATGTTCACCTCTGGGGGATAGGATAAGTGAAGTAACAGATGGTGGTCCTCAAATGAAATCTATCTCTGACCTTGACACCTCTAATGTGGGGTTTTGTCAGCCCTTCACACACCTCATTTCCTTTCTCCCTCCTAGGATGATAGCTGGAAAGAACTGTCCTGTAAATGGAAAGGATATGGAAAGTCTTAGGTTTTAGTGGTGATTAAATGAAATTCCTAAGGGTTTATTTTTAAAAAGTTAACATTTCTAAATAAATGCAAAATACTTGGTGGTGTTCCCAGAACAAGCCAAGGGGGTAAAATTGACACACATTTGATAACTATACCGTATTCCGAAAAGAGAAGGAAAGAAATCCTTAGTTAAGCCTACCTTAGATCCCCAAGCCAGCCACACATTGTGCTGTACACTGGTATAGATGTCTCTGGGCAGGGTCCAGAGACCACCCACTCCTGGCTGAGGTCCGCAATCTCACCCTCAAATGATACCAATGTCTGTAACAACACAGCTCAGTCAGTTTCTTATCACTGACAAATGGAAAAGTCAGCACGATGCAAATGCTTTCAGAATGTTTCCACGGTGACATTATCAGGCATCTCAAAAATACTCATTTCACATGGGAGCATATTCCCCATGGAGGGATGCTCCCTTACCTAGAGACAGGAGGGAGGGCCTAGATCCTACTCCAAATGACTTGACAGATTTTGATGATCCCTCCTGGAAAGCATCATCCTCCCTGTGGAATGTATGTGTGGGGGAATGGGACGGGGGGGGGGGGTGATCAGGGAGAGCATGGGAAGGAGGGAAGGAGGGAAAGGGAACTGGGATCAATATGTAAAATAAAAAATAAATATATTTAAAAATACCCATTTCACATTGTATTTGGGCAATAAAGTTTAAAAATAATAAGGAGAAAGATTATCATCCTTTGCATGCACAGTCATGGTTTTTCCCCCTTCCCTAACACACAGCATGATATTCAGCAAGTGTTTCAGGCTATGCTGGGGCCAAGCACCCTCACACAAGCCTTACTGTTCTAGAAACTCAGACACTTGCAAAACAGCAAAGACACAGGCTCAATTATGTGGTCACAAAGGGAACATGGCAAAATGATACACAAACCACACTGTTAGTAAAGTCAAATCAGGGACAAGGAAATACACTTGGTGTGGCTGCCATGTCATTTTGAGTTGGAAAGCTTAACCTGCTTGTGAGATGTCTTATGTGGGATGTGGTAATATTGAAAAATCAAGTGTGTGTGTGTGTGTGTGTGTGTGTGTGTTTTAGGTGTATGAGTGACAGCTATGGCTATATAAAAACTTACCATCACTCAAAGATACACCCCAAAGCATGAATGAAATGACAGAATCTTGTGTTTTCTCACAAATAACCTAGCAACGGGAGTTGTGAATGAGGCAGGAAGGGACAGACACATTCGTTAAGACATAATTCATTGGCCTTTTGTTGAAAACCTAACTCCCTCATCTGAAAATCTGCATGTATGCACTGCATAGATGAATATGTGCCAGTTTCTTTCTGGACCTGAATTATTTTAAGGCATTATAAAATGTGATAGAGATGAGGCTTGCTTGACAGCCTGCTGGCTCAGCACACACAGAAATTAAACGGGTATGGTGGAGCAAGCCTGTTTGCTCTTTGGATGAGGGAAGTAGAGGCCATTATCATCTGCCTAGAGAGTTTAAAGCCATGGCTACATGAGACCTTGCCACACAAAGGAAAGAGAGATGGGAGGAAGGAGAGATTGAAGGAGACACTTCTGTAATTCTAGCACTTGGCAAATGAAGGCAGAAGGATTAGGACTTCAAAGTCATCCTGCCTGGCCAGTTTTGGGCTAGCGTAGGCTATGTGAAACCTTGTCTCAAAAGACAAGTCAACAAACAAAACCGTACAAACAAGAATGTATTCACTTATTTTTAATGTTTAAAGGGTTATTATAATTTGACATGTATGTCTGCATGTACATCTATATGCACATGCCTGGTGCCTGAGGAAGCCAGAGAGGACATCAGATCCCCTGGAACTGGAGTTGTAGGTAGTTCTGAGCTAGTGTCTAGATGCTGGGAATCAAACCCAGGTCCTCTGGGAGAGCAGCAGCAAGAGCTCTTCACCACTAAGCCATCTCTCCAGCCCTGAGCATATGATTGACATTTTAATTAGGTTGATAGTAAACGCACCTGTCAACAGGTGAACAGCAGCACTCTGGTGTTGAAAGACCCCCGGGAGACCCCAAGAGTTTGGAGCCTGTCAGGGGGAAGGCCCTTGCCCCCAAGAGACAAGCCCAGACCACTGGATGCAAGTACAAGAGGTTATTTATTGTTTACACAGGTACCTGTGGACGCTTCAGTCTTTCGGGGGACTGAGCGTGCTGAGGTTAAAACTCAGGCAGTTTATATAGGGTTGGGGTGGCAAGAAGCAGGCTTACAGAAGCAGAAGCATGGTTACAGGGATTTCATTGTTTCATCTAAATGTAGTAGTTGTAGTTAACCAAGGACAGTTGGTTATTCGGGTTGGGCACAAAGAATACAAAGAATTCAGTTATGACTATCTCAGCATACTGGACACTGTCCTGCTGACCTTGCTTTGGTCCAAGCTGCAGACCACAGATATCTGGTTGGCGTTGGATGAGAGCAGCACCTGGTTCCCTCCTGTACTTTTCTCATAACTTGGCAAATTAGCAAGAGCAATTTAAACAGGCAATAAGCATAGTGGGGGTCTTTCAGTGTGTTTTCCAGAAACAGCTTTTTGTTGTTCTTGATGACACTCCTTATATTAGCATATTAGGTATATTACAGTAATTTAAAAAAGAATCATGGTTTACTGATTGGAGCTCAATATAGAAAATCTGAATAGGTGATGTTTACCATAATAAGTTTTCATTGAAGCACCTCCATGATATTAGGAGGAGGAAAAGGAGCTACTACCAGATTGGCAGCATGAGGAGGCCCTGAAGTCAGACCGCACAGTCTTAGAAATTGGGATAAATAGTCCAAGGTACACAGTCACAGCCTGAGCTCACAGACTGATGGAAAACTCTCAGAAGTCTCCTTTCCTCCCTCTCTTTCCCTACCTTTCCCATTTCTCCACCTCTCTCTGAAACCAGAATACCACCACTCATAGAAACAACAATTTTAAAGTGAAGAACAAAGAAGGAGTAGCTATCAGCTTCCCTTGTGCTCAGATCCTGGGGCAAGAGGTCAAGGACAAGTTTCAGACTGGCTTGGTTTACGCAGTAAGTGCAAGGCTAGCTGAGGCTAAATACAAAGGCCTCGCCTTAAATAAAGAGAAAAGAAACATAAAATAACATAAAATATGACAGATGATTCTACTTCCAAGTAGGTAAAACCACATAAAATCAGCACAGGTGTTCATGAATATCCACAGCTTAATTTGATAGAACCAAATGGCAAACAGCTGATAATATCGAGGCTTTCCCCCAAACATGTAAACAGTGTCTGTGGACAGGAAGTAAGAGAAGTATGAATCTCTCAGATTATGGGTCATTTAAGGATTAGTGCCATCAGTTATTAAACATAACGACAGTAATTTAGGGTACAAACTGTTGTTGTTTTATTTTACTCTTTGCTCTGTGAGGGCCTGCTACCCAGCCCCAGCTCCCAAATAAATATACAGAGGCTTGTTTGTTTTTGGTCTTTGGTTTTCTGAGACAGGATTTTTCTGTGGCTTTCTGTCCTGGCACTGCTGGCCTCTAACTGACACAGCTCCACCTGCCTCTATCTCCTAAGTGTTGGGATTAAAGGTGTGTGCCACCAGAGCAGAGACTTAGCCTGGCTTATTTCCAGCCATCTTTTCTTAAATTATCTGTCTACCTTTTGCCTCTAGGTTTTATCTTTCTTTATTTCTGTACATCTTTCTTTCCTTCTTACTCCATGCCTGCTGTGTGGCTGTGTGACTGGCCCCTTCTTTTCTTGTTCCTTTATCTCCTCTCTTCCCAGATTTCTTCTATTTATTCTCTCTGCCTGCCACACCATAAACAAATGTAACACATCCTAAAATAATATTGCACAACAGTAAAGACTTTGAAAGGTCAAATCAACAGATCAGAAAACAAGCAAAACAGAAACTATGTTGCCCACAGGAATATAGGTACCTGGTATGGTAGATAGCCGGGCACCCGTTAGAAGAAACTGGGAAGACAGCATGG